GGAAATCTATAACAATTACTTCAAAATTGAATGTATACGATACCAGAACGGAAGACATGTTTGGCATTCGACAGGTAAAGCTAATAATGGAAACAAATTTTAACTGCTGGAACTTAAAACATGATAACAAAACAAAAACATATCAGTTAGGAAGCCGTGGGCTGACAGATGGCAAAGGAATGGAGAGTGTGTGAATAGAGTTAATCTGAATTTAAGTGGGCTGCAGGCAAAAAAACCCTTCAACATGTCCCAGTTGAACGTCGGGTTAAAAATGTTCCTCGGATCCATTTCAGACTGAGGGAATGGATCTGAGGGTCAGATGGTCATTTCCTATTTTAGTGTGAGTCAGAATGAAATGATCACCATTCAGGTTGAGCCGAGCCTGGAGACTGAGTTTCAATGTGTCTGTAGTTGGAGTTTGTTTGAAGATTAAACAGATTAAATCAAGAAATACCTCCTTATATGATGAAAAAGTATTATGTTTTATCACAATAATGAGGAGGATTTTGTCATCCTCATTGCTATTATCATTTTCAGGACTTCCTGAAGCTTTGTGTGGAAAAAGCCCCTTTGTTGAAGTTTAGGGTCAACATCTCCGTCTACGATTCCCCTAAAGTAAGAGAGACCTGTGAAGTGAAGTTTTGAAGTCTGATCACCTCTTTGAAAATCGCAAAGTCCTACCTGGGCTGAACTCATCCAGCTTGAACTGGACACAACTTGTTGCCTCCTCCTACTTCCTAAAAGTAACACAGGCTGATCCTAATGGCTCCTGATCTGGAAAAAGAACAAATGTGGGACAAAGAACTTCAAACCCGCTCTCCTTTTACCCTTAGATTAGTTAGTAATCAAATTAAGAGATCTTTTCTTTTAAAGCTTCACAAAAGTCTGATGAAGTCTGGACCTCCATTTGAAGTTAATCAGCTGAATAGCAATACTACATACTGAATGTTTATGTAATTGGGCTTACTACTAATGAAATGTGGAACTATGTATTTCGCAAAGCAGATTTAAAATACGCAACATTCAAATGTGTACACCATTTTGGCAAAACATTATGACTTATACTTCCATTGGAAAAACACATTTTTAAAAATAAATCATAAAAATAACTCCAAAGTTTATACTACATGCATGCCAATGATGAGTGCGCTGAAACTGGAAGGTGTCATTTTAGAAAAATAAACAAAGGACAAGAACACACCAGTGGAGCCTCACCAAGCTTTATTTACATGTGCACCATTTCTTATACAAACTAGATTACAATTCAAAAAAAGGGGGATACACAGGTAAAATAGCCATAACATTGAGTTTGAGAAGAAGCAAGATTAATAAAGGGCAAAGTTCAGAGGTGTGTGTGTGTGTGTGTGAAAACAAGAAGCTGTCCCGGGCTTCTTACTAAGAGACAATGTTGCAAAGGTTGATGTTCCAGAGGTCGTTAAGGTATCTAGTGGTAATATTGTGTCGTATTAGTTTTATTTCAGCAGATGATGTGACATACTTATGCAAACTGAACACTGCGCTTGAATGAATCGAACAACTGTGTGATATATATATATATATATATATATATATATATATATATATATATATATATATATTTTTTTTTTTTTTTTTTTAATGTAGTTAACAACATATGGTCATTTCCCCTAGGAAATGATGCAAAACCTGACATATT